GGGATAAGCTGCTAATGTTTGTAGCTCTATCCCTAAACACTAAGAACCGCCTTGTTCTTAAAACATTTGTTCACCAAATGAGTGATGGTTTGGAGGAACCTGAGTGAAATCACATATTGTGTGACATAACAGGGTCTTAAGACTTAACATAAGTGGGCAATACTGTGTTTTGCTAATTTTACACTTGTTTGTCAAATTTCTCTTTCATTCTGATAACATATTTTGGTCAGTAAGCAAATGCAACATTGAATGTGGTTTTACAGCTTATAAAGACAAAAAAAATTACTTACAACAACAGCCATTGCTTCAGATGCTCAGTGCAACGTTCTGTGGAGAGAGGGATATTGATCACAAGGAAAATACTTCCTCTCCAACAAAAAGTCTTTTTATGACAAAGACATAATGGGTTTTAACCATGAGAAATTAAACAAGTTGAGTAGGGTGACCATACGTGCCATTTTCCCAGGACGCGTCCTGGCCCGGATTTCTATATTGCCTAAAATATCTAGGTTTTGGCTTTGTTTGCGTGTGCAGACCACTCTGTGTATAACATCAAAATACCATACAGACGGTTCCTTATGCTTTCAAAATGCTCTTGAGGTATGTTGATGTCATACACCGATCGGTCTGCACACGCAAACAAAGCCAAAACCTAGATATTTTAGGCAATATAGAAATCCTGGCCAGGACGCGTCCTGGGAAAATGGCACGTATGGTCACCCTAAAATTGAGTGACTTGGTAGAATTTGTTATCATTACATATATTTAGTATTTAAGTCATACTCTCTTTAGTTTGATGATCCAAAGTTCTCTGTCATTTTAAATTCAAAACAGATTGTCTAAATATTAATTTAATTAGAAACAATCACTGAAAGCAGTTTTCAAAAAGTTTGATTCTCAGGATCCCAAATGATGATGGTTTCTCATACAAGGCAGATATGTATTTTATAAAATGTTATATGTATAAACACCCAATTATACTGTTTGACAAAGAATTAACAAAAAATTAAGCATGATATAATAAAGAAAACATGTAGTTTGACAAATTAAATTAGTGGCTTTGTCATTGTACTGAAGGCAAAACTTTTTTTTCTTTTTTACCCACTATTAGAGTAAAATATTAAATAATAAACAAATAAAATAAAGCTAATAAAATAAGTGGAAAAAACAATAAAATGTATTTTTTCTTATTTTAAAGATTATTTCCTTATTTTGTAATCCATATTCTTATTGATAAATATGGCTTCTGACCAGTGTTTAGAAAGCAGAAAATAATTTCTCAGAAAACAAGACTTGAGATCTTAATTTTGCATCTCAAATAAATGTATCTTGACTTAAGGATGTTTTGATATTTGTACTGGAATACAACTAAGAAAGATATTCATTTTTGCAATGCATGCAACATTTAATGCCATGACATGAATTGAAGGCTTTCTGTTCCTTTGTGAAAAGGTGAATTAAGACTTTTTAAGACCTGCAGAAACCCTGGTAATAAAATGACAAAATAATACAACTAATAAAATACTACCAGTAAATCATAATAAGGCCAATTAAATAACACAAATTAAAATTAAATAGAAATAAAATATGTTCACTTTTGTAGTCTTCTAGTAAAATAATTTTGTGGGCCCCCAAGATACCCTTTGTGTCCATCAGGGAGTTCCGGAAGTCCAATTTGAAAACCCCTGAACTTGAGTAATCTGAGACATTAGGTTATATAATTGGAACATTTCTGGCTATATCACAAGCATTTCAGCAGGGTTGTTATGTGATAGTCTCCATTGGTCTGAAATTCTGAGGTGAAAACTGCATCAACTGTAAAAGTTGAAAGTGAAAAAATGTCCCAGACTACCTCAAGTCACTCTACCTCAGTTCAAACACCAACAAAGAATAGATTAGAGAGAATAGAGAATAATACATCATCATCAATATTTTAGAAGATTCCAAAACATGAGCAGCTTGCATTCTAAATGATAAAACAAATCCCATGCTCTGTCCTAGGAAACGACACTTACCTGACACAATGCGGTGCTGCTCAAGCCAACAGAACTGAGTGAGGTGCGGAAGAGCAGGCTCCAATAATTTGTAGTGTGACCTGTGATGGATTAACAACGTCATATGGGATTATACAGAGCAGATTTGATGTTAATCAGCGAAAAACATTGAGAAAAGGAGCAAAGAGAACATTGACCAATAGCCTGCAGCCAATAGCATCATGACTGTCATATTTTAATCAAGAGGAACCTTCCCTGACCCCAAACACATTGTGTGATTAAAAATAAATAAATAAATAAAATAGGGAGTGGATGGGAAAGAGTGTGTCAGACATATTAGCAGTTATTAGAGGTTAAATGTGAGGGAGGGTTTGGCAATCAACTGACCAATAAGATTTGACTGGATTCCAACACCAGTGAAAACTATGTGCTGGCAACGCGAACGATGTCTGGAAATAGACCTTGAACACAAAGCCGTGTACACATGCCAAAATATATATGTAGGCATTTTCATTAGAATCAGAAAATAATTATATGACATAAGATAATGCATCAATGTAAAACATTTGAGAAAATCTACATATAAATAGCTAATCAGAAATTAAAATTTTTACCATAAATTCTGTATATGTATATATAGGTACAATTTTTTTTTTAAATAATGTAAAAATAAATGTATGTATATAATAAAACAGGTAATATTCATAGATGTTGACATTTAGAAATAAAAACATATATTGCATATGGCTTTGTGAAAAAAAAAACATTTCATCTCGCCGTTCTTGCACCATAAAACGTTGAAGAATAGTTTGTTGAAGCTTTTGTTGCATATTTCTAGATTGCATTCTCTGTAAAACTGCTTTTTATGAATATTTTATTGTTAAAAATGTTATACAAATAAATAATGAATTTTGAAATTGAACTGAAAATATTTCCAATAAGGTTTATACATTTAACAATACTTTAAATGTGTCTAGATAAAAATACACTGTCTTCTAAAAATGTTAAAATAATAATAATTATACAAACTAATTAGTTCTCATATAATATTTTAATAATATATTTTGAGTTTATTTCAATGATCACAAATGCAAATTTGCAAATGTGTACTTCCGTCTTGTCTTTTATTCATTGTAAGGTATAACTGTCTTTATATTTTGGGAAGAGGGTCCCCAGCAAGGTTATAATCATATTTGGGGGTTCTTGGCATCAAAAGGTTTTGGAAACCCCTGCTGTAGTTTGGGCCATATATACATGAGTTATTTTGAGGGGACAGCAAATTTACACTGTTATACAAGCTGTACACTCACTACTTTACATTGTAGCAAAGTGTCATTTCTTCAGTGTTGTCACATGAAAAGATATAATAAAATATTTACAAAAATGTGAGGGGTGTACTCACTTCTGTGAGATACTGTATATCACAAAGAGCTCAAATCAATACTCAAATTAAATTTTAGTTGTAAGCAGCCAGTGGTTTGCAGCCAGAATTATCGTCATCCACCCTCAAACGTCACTGCAAAGTTTCCCACTGTTACATTGATCGGTAGGGTGGCCATAATCCCACAAAGCAGGATTGAGCCTTTGAATGTGCGGGTCTGTATTACTAAAGCAGTGATTGCAGCACAATGGTTGTCTCTGTGCTACCAGAGCAGCTCAGTGCTTATTGTACATCTATTGGGTAAAAGCATAGTTGACAGACAATAAATTTGATGATTCATTATTATGCAGGTATATTGTTTCAACATTTATAGGACAACTTATACATATATTATATTATATTGTTATTACATAATTTCAATCCAGCCTTTATCACGTGTTGCCAAGTTAGAGCTCACATCACACCATAGTCTTTACACACCTATTAAACTATTAAAGGGGTCATATGATGTTGCTAAAGACCAAACAAAGTAGTTTCGCTTTCGCAACGAAACACACAGCGGGCTAAAGTGAGCGGAGGCGGGTGGGCTTGAGAACGGAGCGGCCGGCGGATTCGACAAAGGAGCGGCAACCACATGTGACGACCCCGGCTGGACTCCACTTCGTCCACGGTGAAAGCCGATCCGGCGATCCACAGCGCGAAGTTGTTGTATTTCCTCAGCGACCA